CCTCTCCTCTCCTCTCCTCTCCTCTCCTCTCCTCTCCTCTCCTCTCCTCTCCTCTCCTCTCCTCTCCTCTCCTCTCCTCTCCTCTCCTCTCCTCTCCTCTCCTCTCCTCTCCTCTCCTCTCCTCTCCTCTCCTCTCCTCTCCTCTCCTCTCCTCTCCTCTCCTCTCCTCTCCTCTCCTCTCCTCTCCTCTTTCTCCTCTCCTTCATTGCGTCCTCAATTCGTTTCCATCCAGGCTTGTTCATCGCCCTCGTATCCACTCAACCGAGTCTGCCCCAGAGTCCGATCTGCCCGGCCAGCCTGGGGCCTGCCCGGGCCGGCGCCCAGCCTGCCGCCCGGCCGCCCGGCCGCCCGAGGCCACTGGCCTGAGACGCGGACCCGGGCTACTTGAGCCCGGCCGCCGCCCCGGTGAGTCACCGTCGTCCCCGCCGGGCATGTCCGATGGTGAGTGACAGTGAACGGTACCGTGACCGGCGTTCCGCCGGCTTGAAGTTCAGTACCGCCGGGTAGCCGGTGCTGGCATCCGGCGAGTCCGGTACGGTCCGGGGCGCCGGGCGTGTCGGACCCGCCGAGACACCGGAGACGGTCCGGGCCGCTCGTACACCAAACTTGCGGGCCTTTGTTTTTGCTTCTTGATCACTTGGCTTGAGAAAAATCAACGGAGCTGCTTGGGTTTAAATTTTATAAGATAGACTCTAATAGATAATCACCTAGTCTGCTCAGAAGCTCTAGAAGCTCGCCAAGTTCAGATGTACCTGGTTCGTCCCCAGACTTGAAATACTTTCGTGTGACCGGTGCTCTTATCATATATTTTCCTTCAAATGTAGGGGTGATATCACTAAAGTGTTGAAATAATTTCAAGGCTCCTTCAAAAGATGCGGCGGTAGAGTTAGAACGAATGGCGCAAGCGAGGATCCTGAGAGCATGGCGTGTTAAAAGGGCGACAACCGTAGAGCTGAAGATTTCTTCTTGATCTGTTTCCTCTTTCTCATTGCTTCTCCCCTCTTCCTCTGCTTTTGACCCTACTTGCTTCATCATTCTGCCTCGCGCTCGGCATTTCTTCTTTGCTACTCGTCTTCGTCATCACCTAGAGCGCCAGCAATCCTTTCGCTAGTCCTCAGGTACCTCTGCTCTCCTGTCCGGTGAGTTTCAAGATTGTGAGTTGCTGAAACCTCCAAGGGCCAAATCAAGTGAAATAATATGGGCATGGCGAGTAGCATGCGTTTGGCTATCGCTCTTCTTTTTGCTGCATGCGGGGTCGTCGTTTCTATAACACCTCCGATACGACTTCCTGCGTCAATGCCTGTAGGAAGCACAGAGCAAGCAACGGGCGTGCCAACAGCGGTTTCCATCACAGTTCCCGGTCATTTCAGTAACTTCAAAGAAGCCATAGAGAAAGGTCCAGAAGATGTTGGAACCATTCTCGTGCAGCCTGGTGAACATCGATGGGAAAACTTCTTAGAGATAGGACAACAGCTGGATATTCGAGGGAGCAACGGGGCACTCCTTCCCGGGTCCTTGTGGATGAAAAAGAGCAGCGGAGGTGAGATGCAGGGCGTCGAGATGGCCAAAGAGAGCGGCAGCTGCATCATCTTTGAGGGAGGTCAGTGGGTGATCGACTCCTGCAGACTTGTCTGCTCTCGTTGGGCTGTCCTGTGGTGTAGATGTGAGTGTGACGTATCTATCAAGAACTGTTTCATGGGTGGCCTTGAAGACGGGCCGGGTTACTGCGTGAATTGCCAGGACCACGCGCGGACGACCGTGGAAGGTTGTCACTTGGAGAGAAGCAGCGGAGAATATTGCGCTGCAGTCGCTGTGTTTCACAGCGTTAGGACTCGAGTGCAGAACTGCAACTTCCATGACAACCAGTTTGCGTTCCGTGCGGTCACAGCGAAGGACGCAACGTTGGAGCTGATAGGGAACAACATCAATGGGGAGATGTGGTACGACTCCGTACGGCCAGGGAACCTTGTGTGAACGGCGATGCAGACTTCGACTTGCTGCTGACCCTCTGCTCAGGTCGAGCACGACAATTCACAAGATGGAGTGCATATGAGTGAGGCAACGGTGCAAGGAGCTTCACCAGAAGGTGATCCGCATGTTTGCTGTCATTTCTTGTCGCCACTGACGTCGTCCTCAGGATTCTTCGATCAGGCTCGTTAATCATACGCGGTGATGGAGATCTTTGACGTTGTACATGTATATCGAGAATTGTTGGCTTTTATACAATCTGAACCAATGCTGCTGCTGTGTAAATGCACAAATTTGTACTTGGTGCGGAGCTTCGTTGTCACTAGTAGCTCGTATTTGGTTTTCAAGATGCAATGTTGTCGTTGAAATTAAACTTTCAAATCTTTTTAATGCCCTATCATTTTTCCTACGTACATTTATATCCCGCGCATCCGCATCCGGGATCTCCAGGTTTCAAAGATGGAGTTGAAGACGCAATCATTCAAGGTACCATTGTCACGAGCAAGGGCCGATGATATCCATCCGAATGCTCTGCTGCAACGTGCAGGTTTGTCCAAAAACAAAAATGGCTGAAAAGAAATGGCGAGTTCTTTGAGTTCAACTGTTCGTATATCACTGAGGCTGAAGTTCATCTTCCCAACAACATCATACCCGTCGTTCTGTTCGAGCCCTCCTTCATCTTGCCGTTTCCTGACGACACATCACGACAGGTTCCAACTTCCCTCAGGGTGGAATCACTTCCTCAAAGCCGCAGTCCTTTTCTCCAGGAGCTCGACGATGTGCTTGCTTCTCTGCTCGATCGGGTCCATGAAGAGCAGGGTGTTCAAGTACGCTCTGCGACCATCAGTCAGCCCCTCCTCCACCGCTGTGACTGCTCCATCACCGTGAGCATGCCTTCACACGGTCGCTTCGAGACTCTCCATCACTATTGCTCGGCTTCTCTGTGCTCAGTATGTTTGCAGGCTGATGAAGAACAATAAGAACGCTGCTAAAAAACGGCAGGTTAACCTGTTGAGATCTATGTATGTCTGCCAGTAAGAGTCTGCTTTCGGTGCTGATACTGTCCTGGTTGTAATTGTTACAATCTTGATACGATCCTGCTCTTGTCATTCCAACATACTCGCCTGCATGCTGAAAAAAAGTGAAGCGAGTCTGCTGTGAGCGCGGAACCGTGGTGAAGCGAGGAAGAGGGGAGTGGGAGGAGAGAGAGAGAGAGTGAGAGTGAGAGTGAGAGAGAGAGAGACAACTCTTCAAACAGGAAGCGGGGGGAGAGGAAGGAGTAGTGACAGCACACGAAGAGCAACTTTGGCAAGGTCACCAAGGGAGAGGAGGGAAACGCATTAAAACAACGCAAAAAGGAATACCTCCGCACGGACTCGAACCGTGAATCTCCTGCTCCGTAGGCAGGCGCCTTGTCCATTGGGCCACGGGGGCTTGCACTTCGCAGTCTCGCTAGTGGTTCTATACCCCGCCGGGCCCTAATCCGGGCCCCGGCCGGGCCGCGGCTCAGTCAGCACCCGGGTGACCGCACGCTAGAGTCACTGAGACGGTCATTTCCGACAACTGTCGGACTTAATCCAGCGGACTCCGGAGTGTTGATCTGAGTTATCTGAGGTGTTTGGTTGGTTGTGGAAGTTGTTCAACGGTTGGTGTCTTCGTGTGCACATCATCTGAGAGTATTTGTCTTTGGCTTCAAGAGTCAGTCAGCTGTTGAGCTGCCGCCGCTGAGTGCGGCCAAGTTCTACTCCGAGTGACTAGTCAATCATCTGTGCATAGACTCTAGGAGTCTCGAAGTGATTCCAATATGGAGTTGAAGGAGCAACTTGCCAAGTGCGGGCGGCCCTTTGGCTAACTGCCGGATCGCTGAGGGGCGGGCCCGGCGTGTCACAGGCTCTCCTACGGTGACACTTGGATGAGACTCAAGTTCGCGCCGGGCTGCCGCAGTGCGGTCCGGCGGGCCGCGTGAGTAAAAGGGGGATGAGGGCCCTAGCGTCGCTGTTTGTCAAAGGACGTCATGGACGGGGAACCCGCTGCTCCTTCGACTGCTGCTCCTTCGACTTCGGCTACACTTGCCCACCCTGACCGTCTTGATGATCGTTGATCTGCAATCCTATACTTGTTCTACTGCTCTCTGAACGCTCCCGAGCCCTCACCCCTGCCTTGTCGAGCTTTGGGCTTGTAAGAACAACAGCCTTGTAAGAACAACTTGAATAGCAGCCTGAGATGCAGGGGGTGAGCTCGCAACTGGTGTTGAGCAAGCCTCAGGCAAGCAAGGCACGCGCAAGTGTGAATGGCAACGGACATAGCAATGCGGAACCGGAGCATGCTGAAGCCGCAGACAATAAGGCATTCGATGACTTTGTGAAGCAGGCGGAGGGTTTCCACAAGGAATATGAAGAAAGGTTTGGCACCTTTGTAAAGGATACACAAGATGCAGCATTGAATGTGAACAACAAAGTTGGAGAGCAATCCAAGAACCTCCTGGATGGTGCACAAAAGGCCATCCATGATGTCAACGACAAGATCTCCAAGGTCTTCGGGAGCAGCAAGCAATCGGAAATCCAGCAGAAAGCCGAGATCGTAGTTCAAATGAAGTATGGGCTCGCCAAGGGCCCAGAGGTGTGGTGTGGTAACAAATATTGGATGGTTTCCTGAAATTTCCTTTTCCAGATTCTCCTGATCTGTCTGGATGGTCGGAACAAGCAGCAGATCGTCGTCGACTGGACCGACTCCTTCGAAGACGTGCTTTACAAGCTTCGAGACGTCTTCAAGAAGGACGTGATCTTTGAATATGAGAAAGACAGTCAAGTCTTCCGTGTTGAGACCGATGAAGCTTTTGATCGCGCCATGGAGGTCGCTGAGGCCTCCAACTGCAAGCTTGAGGTTGTCATCCAACAGGCTGTATGGTTGAAACCTCCGCTGGAGGAGGACGAGCCCGACGAGCCGGAGCCGGAGCTCGAGCCCCGGGCGATTTCCTGCGCAGATCGGATGATGTACAATCCAGCCCCGTACAAACCTCTGCTGGGCTTGGGGGTTGCGGGCATATTCATCTCGATAGCTGGATGTATCGTAGGCTACGCTGTGCTCGAAGATGGGACGTACCTCGGCGCGGTGAGAGCCTGACGCTGCTTGCCTTGCGCTCACACGTGTTGACAGATTTCAATCTTTGTGGCGTTTCCATACTTTGCGAAAGCGTTCATGGTGAAGAAGGACTTCACGCTGCCGTGGAAGCTGATGCAATTCGTGCTCGCACTGTTCGGCTTGTGTATAGCGATCATCTCTTGCGTGAACTTCCTCAAGTTGAAGTTGCAAGACGGAGTGATCGGGTGCATCATCTGGATCCTCTCGTTGCTCTTCTTTCTCTGGATCAGCACGCTCTCGCTCTACGAGTCCTACAAGGTGATGAAGCAGCATGCCTCCAAGAAGCGAAGGTCAAGGAGGAGGAGGATACCCCTGTCCGAGAGGCTCAAGAGCGGAGCAATCGGCGTCAGTCTTGCCGTTCTCTATGTGATCGTCTTTGGATTGCTCCAGTACGCTCCCTTCAATCACATCTCGCAGATTGTGTCGACCGACCGATACGTTCCCCTTGGCAACATGTACGACAGAGGAGACGGCAAGAAGAATCACATGCACTGCATGGCGTTCATTGACCCCAACTCCAAGATTGACAGCCGACCCGTTGTGATCCTGGAGGCGATGGAAGGGCTCGGCATGTCTACTGCTCTCGCAGGGGTACAAGAGCGTATCGCCTTGGTCGGGGTTGCCTGCGCCTACGACCGGGCCGGCTTCGGCTGGAGTCCTCCGGCTAAGACGGCCAGGACGCCGCAGCAGATAGCGACAGAGCTCAAGACCATGCTGAGCAGCAACGTGACTGTTGACATCATTCCGAGAAGAGGCAACACTACGAGGACAAGCATGGCGCTCAAGGCACCCTACGTGCTTGTGGGGCATTCCGTCGGCTCCTTCTATGTCCGTGCCTTTGCCAGCTCCTTCCCCGAGCTCACAGCAGCTGTGGTCATGTGGGATGCGCTGCCGTCAGAGGACGAGACGTTCAACAAGAAGTTCCAGTCCTCTGCCTCCTCCCTCTTCAGCCTCTCTACGCTCACACTGTGCAAGACCGTGCTGGAGCCCATGGGGATCATCGACCTGTTCCTCCGCCAGTCCCTCCTGACCTCCATCCTCAACGGAACCGCGCTTGACAAACCTGCTCCCAACGGGATCGGATCTAACTACGGAAGGATCGTCTCAAGGATGCTCCGACGAACCTGGTGTCCAGCAGTAGCCAAGGAGTATAGCGACCTCTACCTCGGGTCGAAGCCGGGGATCTTCGACCTCGTCACTGCCGACAGCGCTCGCTACTCGGTCCCCTTCGTGATCTGGGCAAGGTCGGACAACTTGTTCTCCAAGGTAACCTCGTACACCTTCAACGGTCTCGACGCCTGCAGCGAGCAGTTCACGCAGATTCTCAACCCGGCGATCAATCACCCCGAGGGAACTTCCAGCTGGGACTGCGTTCAGTTCAAAGTGCTACACTACTCCAAGCAGCCCTACGCCAATCCCTACAAGCGCACTTGTGAGATCGTTGGGCAAGCCCAGCTGGGGTCCAACAACCCCTGCCCCGACATCCTGCGGTCTATTCACAACGGCACTGAGATCGCTCCCTTGCAAGACGCATCCGTGCAGGCCGAGCTCGTTGACACTGTCCTCAACGCTTGGAACCTGCTGGGCTTCAGAACGGAGTTTCCATCCAACCCCTTCGCTCTGACCTTCCAGGGCTTCGTGCCCGGTACCTGCTTCAGGGCTGGATGCCTCGACTCTCCCCAGCTGTGGCGGTCGAAGTTTGCGGCAGACCTAGAGCAGGTGCTGGGGGTTCGCTTCCAAGGCCTCGTGCAGGTGGTTGTGCAGGAGGGTCCCACCTCCTGCCCCGTCTCCGTTGTCCCCTCGGCTTCAGCTGAGGTCATCGGCCAGCTGAAGCCTGGCGGTTGCCCGACTACCGTCTGCTCGGACATTCGATCGTGCTCGACCCCCTGGTCTTCCGGATTCACGGGAACGTCGTGGAGGAGGAGCATGCGGAGGTCGAGGAGTCTGTTGGCGAGGGAGCAGGGCGCGAGGGAGGAGGAGCAGGAGGATGGGGAGGACATGAGCTTGAGAGCGTTTGCGGAGGAATCGTTCTACGCAGTGGTCCAGCTGGTGGGAGTGAAGGACTCTGACGTTCAGGCTGCCATGGATGTGCTGGAGTGCTTGAGGACGCAGTGCGAGACTCACGAGCTGAACGCCTTAGAGGCGAGAGGAACGAGCCCCAACACCACGACCATCCGCCTTGCTGAGCGAAACCGTCGAGACCAGTTCTTCCTAAGGTGAGAAGAGGGAGAGGAGGAGGAGGAGGAGGAGGAGGGAGGGCATTAGGGGAGGGGAGGAGAAGGATGGAGAAAGTTAGGGAAGGGATGTGCCAGGAGTGACGGTACCCTGCCATGCGCTTCTCCCCCTCCTACCGCTCTGATTTTTCTCTCCCCAGGTACAACGTGACCTCCATCCTCATCGCCGATCGCATCCTCGCTAACAACCAGTGGAACGTCACCGCCAGGTCTATCCTCTTCGAGTGCCCCGCAAACTCGTACAAGTACCTCTCCGGCTGCCGCCAGTGCCCCACCAACTCCACCTCGCCCCCAGGATCGCTCGAGCAGACCTCCTGCCTTTGCGACCCCAACTTCTTCCTCCAGGTCGTCGGCTCCGACTACATCTGCGTCCACTGCCCTCCCAACTCCCGCAGCGTCTGCGGCAGCACCCGCATCCAGGACTGCAAGTGCGACCAAGGCTACACGGGTGAGGACGGCAAGACCTGCTCCCCCTGCCCCCTCAACACCTACAAGACCGTGGTGAGCTGCCAGCTCAGACTGTGCTAGGCTCCGCGCTGACTCGTGCGGTTTGACAAGGTGGGAAATTATCCCTGCACCTGGTGCAACGCGACTCAAGTCGGATGCCCGGTGCCGACGTATCCTACAGCAGACGAACGACAAGCTCTGGTTGACCCCTGCTCCCTCCCTCCCCTCTGCTCCCTCCCTCCCCTCTGCGCTCCCTCCCTCCCCTCTGCTCCCTCCCTCCCCTCCCTCCCTCCCTCCCTTGCTCCCTCCCTCCCCTCTGCTCCCCTCTGCTTCCTCCCTTCTACTACTTCCTCCCATCCCATCTCCTTCTTCCTCTTCTGCTCCTTCCTCCTCTCTCTCTTCTCTATCCCCCGCCCAACGTCCCCAATCATGGCTTCTCAAGAAAGTTCATTCACCCTCCTGCCCAACAATCCTCGTTTCTTTCTCAGTCTCTTCCTCACCAACGCAATCTTGTGCAGGAGAACTGTCACGCTGTCGATGTTTCTACTCCAGGCTTCACTGCAGATCATGTCGGCACCGTCGTGCATCCTCGCTTCGGCAACATCTCGATGAGCGCAGGTCACTCGCCCTCCTCCTCTCGTCGTTCCTGTTGAATCTCCTCCTCGCGGCCCACCCTGCCTCCTCTCCTCTCCTCTCCTCTCCTCTCCTCTCCTCTCCCCTCCCCTCCCCTCCCCTCCCCTCCCCTCCTCTCCTCTCCTCTCCTCTCCTCTCCTCTCCTCTCCTCTTCCTTCTTCTCGTAGCCCCTCACCTTCCTGTCAGATTTTGGAACCAACTGCACTTTCGCTGCTCCGACGCTCGGGGCATGCGTCAACGCGACCACCACGGAAGTGTCGGGGAGGATTGAGGCAGTGAGGAGCTTGGAGTTTTGCTTGAACCCCCCAGTCCAGGTCAGTATCCTCTCGCCTCCTCTACCTTGTGCTGTTCTTGTCCTCCTCATTCCTTCTGTCCTCCTCTCCCTCCTCTTCTTCACTCACTACTTCTATCCCCAGCCCACTGTCAACCCTTACTTGACCATCATCGGCGGGCGCGAGATCGTAATGCAGAGGTGCCTGGAGAAGGGAGATTTCGGATGCAAGGTGAGGGGCGAGGAGGAGACGGCAGGAGGATGGAAAGAAGAGAGCAGAGCCTATGATAAAGTAGAATGTTGACGATGACATGACAACGATGTAGATACAGGAGGAGGAGGAGGAGGAGGAGGAGGAGGAGGAGGAGGAGGAGGAGAGTCGTTGATCGTTTCCGCAGGTTTACGGCAACTTAACGTTGCAGCATTGGCCAGTCACGAGCGTTTGCTCACAGGTGCGACTATCCTCCTAGACCATCTGCCTCCTCCTCCTCCTCCCCACAAGCCCCACCCACCTCTTCCTGCTCGAACTCTCTTTCTCCCCTTCCTCTCCCCTTCCTCCGCTCACGCTATCTCTTGCCCCCTCCCCCCCTCCCTCTTCACGTGGGCTGGGTAACATGTTGGAGTAGTGCGAGCCTGGCATAGACACGAGCCCCGTCTGCTGCTTTTCATCGCATCTCGACCTTCCTTGCACAGAAGTTGATTATGGAGGCGCTCCTGGTAATCCTGCTGTACCTCCTCCCTCATCCTCTCCTGCATCCCGCTTCCTGCTCCTACTCCTGCTCCTGCTCCTGCTCCTGCTCCTGCTCCTGCTCCTGCTCCTGCTCCTGCTCCTGCTCCTGCTCCTGCTCCTGCTCCTGCTCCTGCTCCTGCTCCTGCTCCTGCTCCTGCTCCTGCTCCTTCTCTTCTTTAAAGATTCGCGCAGGTCACTGCCGGGAAGTACCTGCTCTCGAGCTTCTCAACCAGGTGAGAAGCATCCCTCCTCCTCTCCTCGTCCCCACCCTCCTACCTCCTGTGGAAATCCCTTGGATGACCCTCCTTTCCCTTGCTGCTTCTCGACCGCGCGACAGCCTCCTCCAGCTTTCCTCGTCTCCGTGCCCCCTTCGTCTCCTTCCTGTCGCTCTCCTCCTCTCCTCCTCCTCTTACTACTTCTCCTCTTACTCCTCCTCAGGGTCTAGCCCAAACTTGCAGAAACGACACGCTGCGGATCATTTGAAGAAGTAGATGTAACTTTCAAGGTCCTATGTAAAATCAGTGTATACCAATTCTTCTCCTCTCCTCCTCCTCCTCTCCTCCTCCTCCTCTCTTCTCCTGTCCTCCTTGTCCCCGCACCCATCGCTCCTCCAGCCCTCGGGTCCATCAATGGAACCCGTCGAAGATCTCGGTAGTGTCCGTCACTCCGAGCTTGTCCATGATCTCCTCGAGCTTCTGCGTCTTCCGGATCTCGCTCTCGTGGATGATCCTGCCAGCATGTCAGAGGCCCTGCGGCAGGAGGGGAAGCAACTCAAGCTCACATCCTGAGATGGTCCGCGAGCATGAGCTTCTCTTGATTCTTCTTCTCCAACTCCGCGCATGCTGCCTCATACGCCTTCTTCTTCGCTATGTGGTCCTTGGAGCACCTCTGCAGCTCTCGGTCCACGACCTCTAGCCTCTCCCTGATGATCTCGATGTCCCTCCTCGTGGGTTCCGACAGCTTCTCCAGCTCCCTCCTCACCTCCTCCAGCTTCTTCTGCTCCTCCATGATCCTCCCGAACTGCGACTGCATCCTCTCCCTAACCATCTTCTCCTTCTTCTTGATCGCCTCCTCCTGTTCTGTTGCTGTCACCACCTTCCCCGATATGATGCCCACCACTACTTTCTCCGCACTCCCCGCCTCCTTGTCTGCGCTCTTCGTCTCCTTCTCATGACCCTTCTCTGCTCCTGCTGCTCCTGCTGCTGCCGTACTTGCTGCTGCCGCCGATGTGCCTGCTGCCGCTGCCGCTGCCGCCTTCTCTCCTCCTCTCTCCTTGATCTTCTCCTTCATCGCCTCCACCGCCCCGTTGAGCTCCATGGCGGCGGCAGGCAGCTGGGGGGAGGCGGCCAGAGAAAATTGAAAAACCCCAGGGAAGGGCGGGGAGGGGAGGGGGGAAATGGGAGGGAGAGGAGGGGGACGGGACGAGGGGGCGAGGAGGGAAGGGGGCGAGGGGGTGAGGGGGAGACAGGAGGGAGAGGAGAGGAGGGAGAGGGAGAGAGGGAGAGGAGGAGGGAACAGGAGAAGAGGGAGAGGGGGGAGAGGGCGAGAGGGAGTGGGGGAGATAGGGAGATAGGAGGGAGTTGTGGGAGAGGGACAGAGTTGGGGGAGAAAGGAGAGAGAGGAAGAGGAAGAGGAGGTAGGGGAAGAGAATGAGAGGGGCAGGTGAGAGAAGGATAAGGAGGAGAGAGGGGGAGAGAAGAGGGAGAGAAGAGGCAGAGAAGAGGGAGAGAAGAAGGATAAAGGAGGAGGAGAGAGGACGGGGAGAGAAGAGGGAGAGGGTTCTCTGGAGGCAAACGAGGTGCAGAAGCACATTGGGAGGTGAGAGGACAGGGAGAGAGTAGAAGGACGAGGACGAGGACGAGGACGAGGACGAGGCGAGGACTAGTAGTTGGTGGAGCTGGCGGAGGGAGAGGAGGGGGGGGGAGAGGCGGAGAGTGGGGAGACGAAGAATTCCAGGTGGCCGAGACTACGGAGAAGGGACAGGAGGCAGGTGAGCACACGAGGGCATCGATGGTGTGATCTTGTACTATTTCTTCATTGCTCAGAACAATCAGCTGTCAACTCCCCCACAACCACCTCTGAGCGTTGATACACCTTCCCCCATGATACAAGCACACTTGCGAGGCTCTCTACAAGACTTGTTGTGGGACTTGTTTTGCCTGCCTTCGCTCCCTTGAAGACAACCTCACAAGCCCTTGCTCTGCCCCCTCTCTGTCCCCTCAACAGGAGCAGTCTGTTCCAGCGCGTGCAAGTTATCCCGTGCTGCCTCTGCCTCCGACTTTGAGATGCTCGCGGGGAACGTCGAGGACTTGATGCCATGTGACTGGAGGGAGAGAAGGAGAGGGAGGGAGGGAGGGAGGGAAAGGAGAGAAGGGAAAGAATGAGCAAAGGGTGATCGTCTTATAGACCATCAGTTGAATGTAAATCTCCTAATGATAGTTCCTCGTCCGATCCTCCTCCTCCTCCTCCTCCTCCTCCTCCTCCTCCTCCTCCTCCTCCTCCTTCTCCTCCTCCTCCTCCTCCTCCTCCTCCTCCTCCTCCTCCTCCTTCTCCTCCTCAGGGCCTCCTCCTCCTCCCCCTCCCCCTCCCCCTCCTCCTCCTCCTCCGATCATAACGGTGACTGATCATCATGCCC